CGGAAAAATGGCTGAAGGGAACACCAAACGTTAAATTTAAAAACTGCATAGAATTTTACTCTGCAGAAAAACTTCATAAAAAAAGTTATTACGTATAACAAAATTACAATGAAATAAGCAATATCCCTTAATACAAATATTAATTATCCTAATAAATAAATTAACCAACTTCCCTTTGCAAAATCTTAAGAACTGGAATGGTATAAAGGAGGTTAAGAGCTTTGTTTCAATATATATCTTAAAAACAGTGAAATGAGCAATAAAAAACATAAAAGAATACAAAAAACAAAAAATTCTGAAAATCAAAGTATAATTAATGATATTTTATGTTATATTTTCAAGAGAAAAAAATTAGGTGCTACTTTGGTAGACGGTTGCACGGATTTTTGGCGATTTACATTGGCGCAGTTGTAGGCGCGGTTTTACAGTCATCAGCCATCTTGAAAAATGCTGTTTTTACGTATTTTACGCATATTGTAAAGTATTCGAAACTCAAAAAAAAAAAAATAAATAAAATAAATAAATAAATAAATATCGTTAAAAATAATGGATTAATTTTTTGTTGAAAACGTTGTTTTTTAAGATGGCTGGCAAATGTAAATAAATCCATTTACTAAGAGTATAAAATGCTAAAGTAAGGTTAAATTATTACTTTCATATAATAGAATAAAAACACCGCTATAAAAACATTGCGCCAACATTTAATTGGATTAAAATATTACTTAAATTGAATATCGAATTAGAAACATCATACCAACGTTTAAAAGAATTAAAATATTACTTAAATACTTTAAAATAAGTTTTATAGGAATTAATTATTTAACATTAAAAACATATGTGGCAATGAATATCTCAGGAATTTTTCAAAACATTGTATTAATTTTTTAATAAAAGTTGAAGTATACAATTATAAAGTGAAAGAAAATTATGTGCTTACATTTTTTAAAGTATTTTACCTGTCGGATATTGATAAGTACCACAAAAAAAGATAAAAAATAAAAAATAAAATCTTCTAACGATCTTTATTTGTGATCCACATCTCTCATACTTCATTGAAGAAGCAATTAGCGAGGTTTTCTCCAAAAATTTAAAATAAATTTCCTCTAACGCTATTAACAATTTATAAATAAATCTTTGATTAGAAAAGCCAGGTTGGCCAAAATAAGGTCTCAAAGGTCAATTTTTTTTATTCCAATACCACTAATTCTTGGTAATTACCAATAACAACATTCATCTTCGAAACGGACATATCCATTCCATTTGAAATCTGAGGAATTCGAAGAGATGAATAATAAAATTTTAAAATGGCGCGGTAATGCACAAATATTCAGTAACCAATCAGGGAGCTGATTACATCACGTATAGAATTAAAATTATTTAAATAATCATTCATAATAAAATCATTTTTAAAATAAATGCAAAATTAAATTGTATATTAATACTTAACAGCCATAAATAATGTTTAAAACATTAGATTAAATTTATAGATATTAATAAAACCAATTACTTTTTAAGTAAGGTGACGTCATTGATTACATCATCCACAACATAAAATTATATAAAATATTATAAACAACAAAATTTTTATTTCAAATAAAAATGCAAAATTAAATTGATTTTTAATATTTAGAAGCCATAAGTAATATTTGAAACACTGAATTTATGCATAATAAAATGCATTATTTTTTAAATAAAATGACAACAAAGTATCGGTTACCATAAATAACTTATCAAGCAATGGGTTTACCATAAGTCGTATTACTCGCCAAACGAAAAATCGGCAAAATCCGTGCAACCGTCTACCAAAAAAAATGACAATGAAAAATAATAATAAAATGAAATATGTCAATCTCTTAAAAACAGTGACATAAGAAATACCATGAAAAATTTTTGCCAAACCCATATTTCTAAAAGAATGAAACTATTCAAAATAATGCGATTTCATCAAAAATCTATCAACAACAATAAGGAAAATTGTTGTCAAAATCACATTTTTAAAGATTTGAGATGTGAAAAGTGTACTCGGAAGCTTCATTTAAATTTTTTTTTTTTTAAATACAAAATATTATTATTTCTCGAAAATTCTTTTTGTAAAAGCAGTCGCAAGGATGAAAGTTTAACGTGTCCAAAAATCAAAGAAAAATAAACTCTACATTTTTAAACATAAACGTTTTTAGAAAAAATCTCGCTGAAAAGGTGTTAAGCTCACTTTGTTAAATAAATTGGTATTTAATCGATTTATTGAAACACGAAATTTATTTTAAGTTCGTAAAATAGCTAAGTGCCTACGTTTCATGACGATGTGAAAATGGAGTGCGTAGAGTAAAATCTCGCTTTCCTATAGCCCATTATGTCTCAAAATGACGCAATTTCGTCCCAAAACATAATAAAAAACATTCTAATTCGAATTTCGAAAAAATCGCTTCGAGGTGCACTGGCTCTTGTCTAGATGCACCTATGTACCAAATTTAATAGCCGTGGATCTATTAGCTTACGCGCAGCGCGAACGAAAGACACACACGCACGCACAGACAGACTCTTTGTTTTATTATATGTAGAGAAGAGATAATAATAGTTAAACAGGTCTAATGCACTCTTTAGAGCAGTCTTAGTTTTAGGACTTTCTATACTTTCGATAGGTCGCAACTCTTCAGGATCATGTGATGTCTTCCAGCTCTTAGCTCTTACTACATATTCTAAATATCGGTCCCGCTGCCGCAAATATTCTCTGCGCAAACAGTGCTCGTTGGCGTATTTAACATATTTTCTCAAACACGTGTTTTGCATTTGAAAGAAATAGACTTGCTTTAGAACACTGTATTCTGAAATTTGTAAAATAAGTATCGTTATCATTACGCACAAGGTGTCTGAAATGGAACTATCACGCTACCAGATTAGAACTGTCACTAAATAAATTGTAGAGCTTTAGGTACTAATGTTGTATCATATGACACTGTGAGAGTTTGGTACCGAAAGTTCAAAAACAAGGACTATGACATTCAAGAAGCATAGCGCTCTGGCCTGCCGGCTTCCAATTAGGGTGTCTTGTTCTTTATGCGCCATCCTGATCAGTTGGCGGTCGAAATCTGTACTGTTATTTTTAACGCTGTTTTCGTTTCTCCGTAGTCCGTATAGCGTACTATATTTCAAGTTTCAACGAAATACCTCCATCAGAACGTACTGTACATAGATGAGAAGCGTTACTTGAATTACAACCACCTTATATGTGTGAGAAAAAACAAATGTACAAAAAAACAACATGATTAGAAATGAAGTCGTTGTAAAAGTGGCAAAGAACAAAATCTAATTATTAATCATGTAATTATATATGCTTCATCTAATTATTAAGCATATGTCTAATTGCTTAATATTTATGTACTGTAAGGATACTGCAAGTTAAAGTATCTAAATGATTCTTTCTAAATATTCTGGATATTTACACTACATTTTGGATCTTTACTTTACATTCTGGATCTAAGTTACATTACGTCTGTTATAGTTCTACTTACCGAATTCCAGGCAGGAATGGATAGGGCTATCGAGAATTCGGGAAATTTTTCGAAGGGCCGGTGAGCTACCTTGTCACCTAATATCGATGGTTTAAAAACGAAGGAAACGAAGGATATAATCGTGATTACAAATTTCCTGCAATGAAAACCAATGAGCTCATTGAAAAAAATGTAATGATACTTAAAAAATTGAAATATAAATAAAATATAAATGAATAAATTCGAAAGGTAAACATATTAAACTCATCGTCTGAACTCCATCACTCTTAATTCGTCACAAACTCATAACTGATGGATCCAGTTCTTTACTTCATAGCATAAAAATGGAGAATTTCATATCATGCCGCTTTAACAATTTCATATAGCGATGCTGGCACATTTATCCATGTTGCCTGTTCACTTATATTTTGGCATGGGCGTCTCGGTATCTTTATGAAGGTTGCATTCTTCATGGAAATGCTCATGGAATAATGATGCATTCTTCATGGAAATGTAAGGATGCCTGCCTCTGTTGTATCGTGATGAACAATGATCAGTTCTTAAAAAAAGTTCCAGTATTTTTATGCAAATTGGCCACGCTGGTCATTGAACCAAATTATTTGGACCAAGTTAATTCCGTCGTCAGTGGGGCTATCTGGCCGATATCCTGACTGCCCCAGTGGATCGGCTGCCTCGCTGTCGGTGGAAAGAAAGAAAGGCACCTTTGTTTTGGCGAACAAGGGGAAGCTTACATAAAAGTACCCGCATTTTTATGCCAGTTGTCCAGTCCGCGCCAATCAGACTAACCTCGTCGGTTCCTACGGATATTCAGTCTCCTCATACAGTCACTGCGAGACTGTAAGGATATTGCAAGATCTTAGCGATGCTGTATTTACTGTATTTTAGAACAAACTGAAGATATAATATTCTTCTGAGCACGTAAATTTTATATTTCTTTTTATTCGAATTTGAGTTTAAATTTTTATTTTCATTTCTAAAATGGCAACTAAAATATTAATACAAACTTCTAAACATTAATTAGGATTAGATTAAATCTCAAGCAACTTAAAAATTAATTACTGTTCTATAAAACAAAGCAATTAATAGCTTTTACGTATTTAATAATTCCACTTTTTTCAAATTTATTACAGAATTTGTGGTGACACAGAGATTTTAATAGACCGTCAAGAAATTTTTTTAAAAGGAAATATATTTCTTGATTTAGGTTGACTAAGGTTTTAACCACAGCATAGTAAATTTGAATTTTTTTGCTCATTTGAATATTATTATTAGATGCACATTTCTTTGAATTTTTTCTGCCATTTAAAACGTTTATTTATGTAATTGCTTTGCTATCAAAATACGAAGCCACATCAATGCTGATAGCTCTGAAAGTATACAAATAATTTCTCAGGCTTTTTTTTAAATTATCAATGCACGGCATTTCTTACATAAAACATATTGTTGTGCATGATTTCTTGGAATTTAAAATGTATTTTTTTATCTACATAGGTAAGTGATGCAGATAATCCAGCACTGGAACCTATCATTGAAAAACTAGATGATGTTCGAAAAGAAGGGGCTAAAGTCGACATAGATGGCCTCACCCTCAAATCTATACTGCCAGACGACCTTATGCCGTACTACAGATATGCAGGTTCTTTGACCACGCCACCCTGCTTGGAGATTGTCGTTTGGACTATCTTTAAAGATCGTGTGCCCATCAGTGAAAAACAGGTAATGCTTCATCTAGCATTTTTTATTTATAATAATAAAAGAAAGACTTTCTCTAACTCTGTGTAGATCATAAAATGCGAAGTACAGAACTACGAAACTTGGCACACAGATTCTTTAGATGGATTACATTAAGTTATTCGAATCGATTCTTTTAAACTCAGTTTAGAATTTATTTTATTCTGAAACTGACATGAATTTTAATAACACGGACCGAATTTTCACACTAAATTTTATAACAAATCTTGAAATGAATTACGATTTTGCCAGACATTTTCAACAAATCTCTCGGATTTCGATAATTATATTTCCAACAGTACTAAATTCAGAGATCAGGAAATTTATAATAACATGCCATTAAAACGTTCCTTGATATTTTGAGTTTTGCCATGTATGCACTTTTTTAATAACTTGTTTATGTAATCAAATCCATATATGTAGGCTTACTCAAAATATATATTGATTTACCAGATTTTTTTGGCCTGATTTTTTTTCTTCCTGATTTCTGCAATCGCACATTCCAACTCATTGATTGAGAAGGGCATTGGCTTCGAAGAAGAACTACAATGGAACAAGCAGCTAGTATAATCTGCTGCATCTCAATTAACTTTCCACATTACTTCTAATTGCAATCCCTAATTCTGATGTTTATCAATAAAAGAATCAGTCAGTTTAGCTTTTCCTTTCAATTCAGGAGCGGAGTTTTTTACTTTTCGTAGTCTACTACCAACCCTTTTCTATACATGTCCAATGCATTCCAGCTTCTTGACCGAATCTTTACCATATATATCTTTCACAAATTAAAAACCCCTTAGAATCCCCATCCTCATAATATTCCGTGTACTTCAGCTTTCGTAATGTTCATTCAAAAAGCGGATAAGCACCAACTGCTTCCATACAATGTCAGCAATTAATTATTTCCTTTATTCAAAACATTTCCGTCAAACATTACCGTTCAAACATTAATTGGTAGATACTTGCTTTATTTAGAAACATTACCGTCAACATTACTGCTCAAAAAACATTACAGTTCAAATTATTACCGTTCTAAAAAAACTGTTGTTGCCAATCGGGAAAATACGTTTTAAATAAAATTAATACGCTGCGTTTACATTCGGGCATCCTTGACTTAGTTACGACCTCGGAACATTAAGATCTTATACTTAAAAAATTAAATCTGTAATATTTATGTTTATAGTTCGAAAGTCTTTAACTGTCATATAGATTCACCGTCGTTTTCTATTCTTTTTCCGTGTCCTAGTTTTAGTAATATGCGGCATGTTGTTATCGTTATCCCCAGTAACACTAATGTCATCACCATCATCATCGTCTTCTTCTGATTCAGCTTGATACTGACTTTAATTGGCTCACATGAGCTGTCGAACTAAAGAAATGTCCTTTCACCTTCTCTTCTAATTGAGTCACTCTATAGGTATTCACTTGGTAAAACTTCTGTAACTACCAAAGGTCCTCGATACTTTTGTTGTGTTTTGGTTGATTCTGCAATTGGTTTAGGTACTCTTCTCATAACTACTATTTTTCCTCGTTCGAATGTTAAAGAATTGCTATTTTTCCTGTCATAATTTGCTTTCATTTTCATCTGCATATCTTCAATTCTCTTTCTAGCTTCATTCTGTAAGATTACTGGATTCTCTCATTTGCGTCTTCATCTGTAATCATCCTCATCAACCCGTCGTTAAATTTTGGTGAATAACCGTGAAGCATTTCGAAAGGAGTTATATTTGTAGTCTTATTTATCATATTGTTTAGATTTCTTTCGCATTTCTTAATCTTTTTGTCCCAGTCTCTCTGATTCGGATTTTACATACTCGTTTTAATCGTAGCCAAAATTGTTCGATTTGCTCTTTCCACCATTCCATTATACCACTTGGATGTTGAGTTGAATTGAGTGTATGACTGATTCCATTATTTTGACAGTACTCTCGAAATTCCTTCGCTGTGAAACATATTCCTCTATCGCTGATAATTTTTTCTGGTAACCCAAAATCATCTACAAAACTCTTCAATGCAACTAACACATACTTGGTTGCACTACTTTTCATAGGATATAAGCGTGTAAATCTTGTAAAATTATCAATTATTACAAATAATTCTGTATTTCCTCTTGAACTTTTTACGAAGGGTCCTAAATGATCTATATGTAGGATTGCAAAAGGTTTTCTACCAGGTCTAATTGGATGCAGTACTCCTTGTTTCTTACCACTATGCACTTTATTTACTAGGCATTCGAAACACATCGAAATGTGACGCATAACATATCGTTTCATTCCTTTAAACCAGTATGATTCCTTGATTTTGGCAACAGTTCTGTCTGCTGAAAAATGTCCCAAAAGATCGTGAAATTTTACTACAATACCTTTTCTCATCGATTTAGGTATGACATATAACAATTTCTCCTTTTCCTGATCTTTTACTTTACGAAACAATCGATTATTCTTCAAGACGTAATTTTCAGTTACATATTTCTCTGCATTCGTTCTATCATTTATCTTTTTCTTTAAAATGTCTATTAATTTGCGTAATTCTGGATCTGAATGCTGAATCATAAGAATTTGTTCATCTATCGTTAGCGTTAAACAAACTTCCAAGTTGTTTTCAATTATAGAGTCTAAAGTTTCTTCTGGCTGATCAACTGGCGATCGGCTCAATGCATCTATGTGACTCATTTTTTTACCTTGTCTGTGCTTTATTTCAAGATTGTATTCCTGGATCAGATTACTCCACCTTGCTATCTGAGGATTTGAAGTTTTCTTCGCGTTTAAATAAACTAAAGCTTGGCAGTCTGTAATTACCGTAAATCGGATTCCAATTAAAAATTGTCGAAGTCGTGTCAAAGTCCAAACTATAGCCATTAATTCTAATTTGCTTGAATGATAATTCTTTTCTGTTTCTGTTGTTCCTTTACTTACACAATAAACTAAATGCCACTTTCTATCTTCACCTTTTTGCAACAGCATTCCTGCCAGCCTTTGTTGCTCGCGTCTGTGTGCACTTCAGTCTCTGCTTCCAGGTTATATAATGCTAGTATTGGTTCATTAGTTAAATGATCTTTTAAAGTACTGAATGCTTGTTTCATCCTTCCTCGTCAGTCTCGTTAGCGGCTCAGCTTTCTCTGCGTATTTCGGTACAAACCTTCTAAAGAAACTTGTAAGACCTAAAAATTGTTTAACTTCATGTTCATTGGTTGGTTTAGGAAAGTTTAATATGGCTCGTACTTTTCTTGGTCCAGGTTGCATACCATTTGATTTTATTAGAAATCCCAAATACTCAACTTCATCTTTTCCAAATTCGCATTTTGTCAGTTTCAATGTCAGCATTGCTTCTCTCAATCTATCAAACACTTTTCTAAGTTTTTCCATCATTTCTTCCCAAGATTTAGCCGGAATTAATATGTCGTCCAAATAGCACAATACTTCTTTATTAAGCAATGGACCTAAAACTTGATTCATAAGTCTCTGAAATTCTGCAGGAGCATTAGCTAACCCAAAGATCATACGTTCAAATTGACCAGTATCATCTGGAGTGATGAAAGCTGTTTTTAGTTTCGCTTCTTCAGTTAAAGGAATCTGCAAATATCCATGAGCTAAGTCCAATGTAGTGAAAACTTTACACTCACTAAGACATTCAAGAAGATCATCTATCCTAGGGAGTGGAAATTTATCTTTAACAGTTTGCGAATTCAACTTTCTATAATCTATCACTAATCGTAATTCACCTGTTTTTTTCTTTACGAGTAAAACTGGACTAGCATACGGAGATCTTGTTTCAGTAACAATTCCATATTTCTTCCATTCATTTATTATCTTCTTTATAGAAGCACGCTCTTCGGCATTGGTTTTATACGACTTCATGCAAATAGGCTTACTCCCTTCAATTTCTTTAATATCCAATTTTGTCAAGTTTGTACACCCTAATTCCTCCATATTTAATTCAAAACAATCTCGATACTCATTTATCAAATATAAAACTTCCTGTTTTCTCTCTGGCATAGTATTGTTATTAACTTTAATTTCTTCTAAAGTAATCGGTCTCTTAAACTTCTTGATTTCATTTATTATCATTTGAATTTTCAGTTTTCTGATCTGAACTTGGTTCAACTAATTCTGCTACTTCCGCTCTACCGATACATTGATTCTCTTTCAAAATTAGTTTTCGATCGCTGCAGTTAGTGACTGGTATCACTGTTTCTCCCTGTATTACTTCCAATAATGAGCCCAACTCATCTTCCGATCTACTTATTAAAACATAACCGTTATTTATTTCATCAGTTTTAACTTTCACGAAATTAACCGTATTACTTTCGATTTGAGTTTCTTGGGAAGCCTTCAGTTTAATTCGCGGAGTGTTGCTATTCATTTTGCAACTGTGAAAATGGGCAGTCATTAGCATAGCGTATGTGCAAGGATATTACCTATCTTGGCGTATGCAATATGTGGTAAATCAATCCATGTTCGACCAACTAATAAGTCGCATGGTTGCGTTTCATCTCCTACAATTAGAACTGTAATGTCCTTTCCTTCCACATTATCAATCTCTAAGTTAACAGTTACTTTTCCCAATGTTCTAGCGGCTGGTTTATTCTGGTTCCCAAAGCCAAACAATTCCTCCACATCAGGTTTATAATAAGATTCAGTTCTCTTAGCCGCAGACTGTTTCAATAAACACGAACTAGAACCCGTATCTATGATTGCAGTAATTTCTTCTCCATTATTGATGCGAGCATGCTTCAAATAAACAGCTGGTGAAACACCTGAATTCTGGTCCACGGATAAGTTATTTTTAACATTTGTCAAGTCTGAACTCTTAGACGTACACGTTTTAAAAGTATGACCCTTTTCATTACATTTCTTGCAAATAATTTCTTTTTTAGGTTGAGGACAATCCGTCGCTATATGTCCATAAGCATTACGATTGAAGCATTTCGGCTCACTTTTTTCATTGCGGATGCCAGAATTATATTCCCTTTTTCTTTCGTCTATTTTATAAAATTTATCTCTCAAATTGTATTTATTATCAAAACTGTTTTTAAAACCCACTTTGAAATTACCATCTGTCTGCATAGAATCGCTAACATTTCTGTGTCTTGAATACTGATTATAGGATCCTTCATAATATTTAGAACCAAATTTAGGCTTAGAATCATGCCTAAAAGTTTTATTTTCTACTTGAAGTACTTTTATCTCTGCCCGAATATTTTTCATATTCATCTAGTTTTTCAGCCAACTCTTCAGGATTAACCTCTTCGCGACGGGCGAATCATATATGCATTTCGTACGGACGCATGTGAGGCCCGGGCGGTTCACCCGTGCACTCCTGGAGAACTGGCCAAGTGGACGGGCAGTGCAGATATGCATTTTAAGCTGAAACAATTTTTAATAGCCACTAGATGGCACTATGTGTCCATTACATTTAAACTGAACGTAGTTTTAGTATTCTGACCTTCAGATTGTTTATATTCTGGCTGTTTTTTGGTATTTTGCTTGTCAGCTGTGGCTGGGGAAGGGGAAATCGTAATGTAAAACAACGCAGGGCTCTTTAAATCGCTGCGTGCTAATGAAAACATTTCGTATCTGATTTATATCCAATTCCTTTTTTTATTCTATTTTTTCCTCTACTTTGTACGGTCTTTTAGGTACTGTGCGGAGTTTTTTTTTTTACGTTTGCATTGCCTTCAGATATATTTCCGTTCCTTCTTTTTTATTTAGGAAAGCCTCACCTCCAGTCTATTATGACGGGAAGGAGGCGCTATTTATCAGAGGAAGAATACCCTAGTATGGTTAGTGAACCATTTACAAACGCAAATGAGAGTACTGATTCATTTTCTAAGGAGTTAAAAAGTGATACTTTTTCTAAGAGTTACAAGGTGATACTTCTCTGTGCTTCGAAATTTACCACGCTCGTTTTCATTTTAAATTTTGTTACTTCTTACTGTAAATAGTCTTTATTGTGTTCTTTTAATAATTTTAAACTTTATTGATGGATTTTATCAATTAAAACTTTAGAATAATTTGAATAGCTCTTCCGAAAAGTATTATGGAAGATAAGCAATTTTTTAAGTATATTTCCATGTAAAATAAAGAAATAAATGTTTTAAGGGCTAATTTTAACATATATAAGAGCTCAAGTAATAATCTAAAATGATACCAAAAATTACGATGCTAGAAGCGAAACTTTTGTTTTTCTGATTTTTGTTATAAAATTAGGCTTAACGATGCAAAACCTCCGTCCTGTACTGTGACTGCCTTCGATTCTCTTCCGTCCCGCACGAGCGTTTTAAACAAAGGTGCGCCGTCGCGAAAAGGTTAATGAATTTAGACCAATCATCAATGAAATGGTCTCGAATAGCAGCGGGGACCCTTTTCTTTAATTGATCCGTAATAATAAGTTGTTTTAAAGAGTCAAAATCTGTTACATTTAATCCAGCAAGCCACTCTTCAAAACAATTTTTTAATTCAAAAGTGAAGTCCTTCCACGTATTACGCAACGTTTTAATATGATCAACGAACTTTTGCCGAAACTGTTCAGGGCTTAACGTAAATTTTCTCAGTAGCAGTTGTTTAACGTGCTTATAGTCGTTAGCTTTTTCTTCTGATTCACGGGGAATTAATTGAGTTATTTCATAAGGCAAAAGACCCAACAGCTGAGAAACCCAGTTTTGTTCTTCTAACCCAATACGTCGTGCTTGTCTCTCAAATAAAACTAAATAAAAACTTATATCACCTTCATTCAAATCATACTTATGCATTAATTTACTCATATCACAAATATTACTTATACTAACATTAGAAGGAACAGAATCATTTACATTACTACTTCTGATTTCCGCTTCTATTTTCAATTTTTCAAGTTCAAAAGTTCTTTGCTTATCTTTTTCTAAAATTTCCATTTCAAATGCTCTTTGCTTTTCTAAAATTTCTAACTTTTCCCTGTCTAAACGATCATTTATAATTCTATCTAGCAAAGTCTTCATCTAGTAAAGTCTTCGTTATAGTTCTTACTATTCAAAATCATATCCCTTAAACCTACAATTTTAATATCAGAAGGGACATCTACATCAAGTTCCAAAGCTAGTTCTTTAAGTCACATTTCTTGCCTCTTGCCAAATAAGCCATCTTAGACTTCAATTTTCAAATAATAGTACAATAATTATACTTAAGTTCTTTCCGTTTAATACTTAGACATAACATAAACAGTTTATAAAGTCACGTACCTTTCTACTTTCAGTTTTGGCGAGCTTCCGCATTCAGTTTAGGCTTAGCGTACATTAAGGCAATACGTTGTTAAATTTAGATAATAATTCTAGTTAATCCCACTTCTGAAATGTTAGCAATTAATTAGTTCCTTTATTCAAAACATTTCCGTCAAACATTAATTGTTAGATACTTGCTTTATTCAGAAACATTACTGTCAACATTACTGCTCAAAAAACATTACAGTTCAAATTGCTACCGTTCTAAAAAAAACTATTGTTGCCAATCGGGAAAATACATTTTAAATAAAATTAATACGTTGCGTTGGCCGTAATTCCATAAAAAATACAATACCCGAGGCTGCTTCTTTATAATTTGCAGAACAATTACATTACGCTTTACATATGTCGTGCTGAAGTTCTGTTTATTTTGTTGCAAATGATTCAAAAATGTGACATAGCTTTCAAATCAATCACTTTGTCAACGCTAATCGACAAAGCAGCAACACATCCATTCAACGTCGAATACCCTCTGCGCCAAACTAAATACGAAATTAAGGGAAAAAACTATCGCCAGATATCTTAAAATGTATTACAAAATATCTAAACTTAGTACGAATGTTTGTAGTTAAAAAAATTTTGATGATAAATAAGGTTTCTAAATAGGTATATCTATTTAAACGCTCACTTCCGGCCCAAAATATTGGAACTTCCGGTTTATTTCGTTACAGATAAGTGCTTATAACTTCAGTTCTAATTAACCTATCAACAAGCAGAAACTTGTATTTGATAGCTAAAGATGTATTCTTTAAGATAATGTAATAAAGTAAAAATCGAAATTTTGACCGAAAATCGTCTTTTGTACGAGGTCGGATACCTTGCAAAGTGAAGTTAACCAGACATTGTTTTCCTCTTTTTGACGAAGAAGAATACACAATGATAAAAAAATGTTTATCGGCACAGTGATTTTCGGAAGAAACAAAAATTAGAACACTAGTGCGCAAAACTTAATTAACATTTCTGATTTTGGCCGTAATTCCATAAAAAATCAAATCGGAGGCTGAAATTGATACTACAGACGTGGTACTTAAAGAACTAGAAAACATAGTGGCAAACAAATGAATAGGATGCGTACAGTACAAAACGAATAGAAAAAAGGCTTTTTTGCCAGAATAGCATTGATAAATGCTATTCCGGCAAAATGTCTGGCCAAGAAGGAAAGAATAAATCAAAGAACCTTATGGGGAGTTTTAGTAAGGGATATGACTTACCCTCTCTACAATAGTTGCGTTGCACCGTCTGCTCAACACCAGTGTCGTGAACAAGAGAAAATAATGAGCGGTTTGTTAAAATTTAGATTAGATGAAAGATCTTTTAATATATAGCATTTTAATACTATTTAGCACAGTGTAATAGGTTCATTTTACAATACGCAACATCCACAAAAATGATCGTTACAACGTAGTTCGATCATCCATCTTTTTTGAACAACAATCTCTCTCGTTGCCATTCCGTAACAGAGAAACTTACCTCTCATTGAGTTCGATAGTGGCGCGACATTCTCCCCACCTTGAGTTTGGGGATACAAACTCGAAACAGTAACATAATGATAATACATACATACAATTTTGAGATAACAATAACGTACATAATAATAATAGAAATATTTCAAAATATTAGAATGCAAATTGAAATCAATATTTTAGAGTTCAAACACAGAAAGTTCAAAAGTTTGTTTAGAAGTTTATAAATCCAGTCTTTTAACTAGTTTTATTTTTCGTCCTGAGCGAGACACGCGAACAGTTTCATTAGAGTCAGTATTAAGCTCTTTTTCAGCTATCACTTCCGGAACCTTCTGAGGTTCCGATACGACTTGCTCGTAATTTGGGGTCAATTCCAAAGGGTACAGTCGTTGGATTGGTCTTAATATGTTTCCCTTTTCAGTTCGCAGTTTCACAAGTCTGATGATTCCATCTTTTCCTGGAAAGAGTTCCAGTACTCTCCCTAGCAGCCAATGGAGCCTTTTTTTATCATCTGTCCCAATTAACACTATGTCACCTACATGTATTTTATCTTCTCTTTTGTTAACTGAAGAACGAAGGAAACCCAGATACTCCCTTTTAAACCTTCGTTTTAGATTTTCACGAACCTTTTGAATATGTCTCCATCTCAAAACAATATTAGTCTTTTCAATTTGATCCAAATCAGGAACATAATTTAATGGAATGTCCTGAAGAAACATTGAGGGGGTCAAGGTCTTCAGATCTTGTTCCTCGGATATGTAAGTTAACGGTCCGCTGTTCATGATAGATTCTCATTCACATACGAGAGTCTGCAATTCCTCGTAAGACAAACAGGAGCGTCCAAGATTTTTTCTCAAAAGATCTTTCAAAATCCCAATCAAGCGTTCCCCAGAAGCCTCCCCACCATGGAGAGAAGGGTGGGTTAAACTTCCAACGAATTTCGTTGACTCTAAATTCACTTTCAATTGTAGTCCAATCTAATTGTTTCAGAGCATTATTTAGTCCTGTAAAATTAGTACCATTGTCTGAATACATCACAGAAATTCGTCCTCTTCTGGCTATAAACCTACGCATAGCTTGGATGAGGTCATTGGTACTCAGTGAAGGTATTAGCTCAAGATGGACAGCTCTAAATACGGCGCAAGTAAAAAGTACTATCCACACCTTTTGTTTAGATTTAGTCAACAGAGGTCCAGCTATATCTACACCTGATACTTGAAAAACTGCTGCTACTTCTGTTCGGTCTTTTGGAAGAGGCGGAAAAGGTACCTCAAGATGTTTTACCTTTTGCCTTTTACATGTTAAGCATTCTTTGATAACACTCCGGACAGTTCTTTTCCCTTTCACTATCCAAAATCTTTCCCGTAAAATAGTCAGTAGAGTTAATGTCCCAGCATGCTTGTTAGCAATATGTTCTTGGGCTATAAATCTTCTCACTGCCAGGTGTTTCGATGGTAGAATTATTGGAGAAATAAAATCTTTCGATTCTTCCTCATTTATCAATCTGGACTTCAATCGTAAAATTCCTTCTTCATCTTCAAATATTAGAAGACCTTTCAAATTTTTTCGTGTTTCTTCATTAGAGTAACATTCCTTTGTATTACACGGAAAATAGTCCTTTGTGCATTTAACAATTCTTCATTTTGAAGTTCCTTACATTTTCTTAAGTCCTTGGCCTTTGGTTGAAAACGCAGTATCCAAGCCATAACCCTAATCATCTTTGAAAATCTAGAGAATCTTCTGGCTAACTGTAATGAAATTGACTCTAAGCTCTGTGTTACTAGCAGAGATGACTGACTTTCGTTTCTCTATCTCTACTACTTATTTCTCGTTAATATTTACAGCTGACTTTGGCCACTGCTCCTTCAAATTCTTCAACCAGGCTGGCCCTTGCCACCACTGGCGTTTGTGAAGTTGTCTAGGTCCACAACCTCTTGATAAAATGTCTGCTGGATTCTGGTCAGTTGAAATATGGAATCAATCTTCCGAAATTTTCAATTTTCTAATTTCACTTATTCTGTTTGTAACGAATACCGACCACTGTTCTCGACGAGTTATCCACACAAGAACTGTGGAAGAATCTGTCCAAAAGTAAGTCTTGATGTTGGGAAGTTTTAGAGCTTGCTTCACAGAACTAAACAGCCTAGCACCTATGGTAGCAGCCATTAGTTCAAGACGTGGTATAGTAATAGTCTTCGTTGGAGTTATTCGTGATTTGGCTTGAAGTAATTGAACAGTCACTGAACCCATACTGGATTCACTTCTTAAGAAAATGCATGCCGCATAAGCTGTCTTGCTGGCATCGACAAAAGTATGGATACTTAAATTGGATTCCTTCATCACACCTAACCATCTTGGAATTTTTATATTTTTGAGGTATTTCAGTTGTTTTTCCCCATTTTAAAAAATTCTTCTTTATTTCATCATTCACTTCATCATCCCATGATTCTTTGCTCTTCCAAGCGGCCTGCAGCAAAATCTTAGGCTGAATCATAACAGGTGCAAGGAAACCTATGGGATCAAATACTCGACTAACTAGTGAAAGCATTTTCCTTTTAGTTACCTTTTTCTCTTTCATCAAATTTCAAAAATTCGGTGTCTATTTCTAAGGTATCTAAATCTTTGTCCCAAACCAGTCCTAATACCGGTGATGTTTTACTTTCTGAAAATGCAGGAATGCCAGAACTTTCCCATCCTCTGAGATCAAACATTCCTTCTTTCATTACATTAGTTGCAGATTCGATGAATATTTCTAGTTCGTCATTATTTTGTACACTAGTTACGCAATTATCGACATAAAAACTATCTTGTAATTTTTTAAGAAATTCTTCAAGAATATTTTTTCTTTCCACGATTCTTTGGATAAATGATGGTCAATAACCGCCATCAGCAAAAATGGACTACAAGTAATGCCAAATACCACACGGGTGTGACGAAATGTCTTCACTCTACCATCATCACCATACCAAAGAAATCGTAAAAAATCTCGATCTCTTTCATTTAGAGATATCTGTAAAAAGCTCTTCTGATGTCTGAAATCACACCAATTTCATGTAAGCGAAATCTTGCTAGAATAGACGGAATAGTTTCAATCAAATTAATTCCAGTCTCTAAGCAATCATTTAGAGATGGCTGATTAGAAAGCTTTGCCGAAGCATCAAAAACGGGTCTAATTTTCATGGAAGATAGTGAGGACGTTTCCTTAATGACTGGACAATGTGGGAGGTACAGAAAGAGGCGCAGCCCCCCATCCACCTAATCGATTTGATTTTATGACTTTGCCAGGGGCGCCAAGTTAAAAAACCACATAATAAAATACGCCCTTAAGATATAACCTAATGGCCTAACGACAATAATAATAAAATAAATAGAATGGTTAAAACTAACTAAACAAAGACAAAACACAAGACACAGACCATGCTCTATCATAAAACACTAAACACATGTTAAATCAAATTCCGACATTAACACGATTATTATTAATAAATTCATTAATTCCCTAGCAAATTCAAATTCAGTGTTTTTTCCAGTAAATGTATTAATAGTCCAACTTTTGTCTTATATCATAAGTTAAATCACATTCATTTACAAAATGTTTAACTGAATCCGTAACTCCACAATTATAACATAACTCATTTTCTTGTAGACCGAATCTCTTTAGGTACTCCGGAAGCGTCCATGTCCTGTGATAATTTGATTAAGAACCAGGCAGCATGAATACATTTATTATATGTAGGATCAAATTATACTGTAATCCCTTTTTTCTATCAGACTCATTCCAATCCTTTTTCCACATATCAATATAAAATTGTTTATTTTATTTACAAGAATTCTTCTGGATGGTTGGACAATGGAACACACTCCCGGATTCGCCCAAATTGCCTCCTTGGGCAACACATCGGCCCTTTCGTTACCCAAAATCCCAACATGTGACTTAAACCATTTAAATTTCACAACATGAATTTGGTGATTTTTTCATAGAGACATTTAATATCAACAATTAATGAGTTTTTACATTCGTAATTTTTTAAGGCCTGGAGACCAGACAACAATCACTATAAATTGATATTTTATAATGTATAAATAAGTTATCCCTTATCCATCTCAAAGCATAAAAATAGCTGTCAATTCTGCCTGGAACACTGAATTAAAATTTTCCAATTTAATTTTATCATTGTAAATTCAGTACCAATAGTAATATACAACATAAGGAAAACCTATCTTACCATCGATTCCAAACCATCTGTAAAAATGTCAATTTCACCAATTCAACAAAATGAAATTCATAATCATAATAACTCTTTTAGCAGGGTATATACAATAAGGATCCAAGTTAAAAAAGCAGTACAACAAGCAAAAAATTCCTCATAATGAATAAAATCACTCTTATTAGTAGATAATAAAAATTTATCGTAATAATCCTATAAAATATAGAAAGAGGCGGTGTGCCAGCCAAGATGCACAGAATTTCGGATGGAGTGTTTTGAACACCTAGTCAGTGACAGAAGCCAGGGCCGCTGATTGTTATTAACTTATTCCTTATTCTTTGGAGTTCCGCCGCCCTAGAGCCCCCAACTACCTATTCCATACTTATTATAGGTATGATAACAGCATTATAAATCATTCTGAGTATAATTCTTTTAGTAATCAATATTTTTTTTGGAAATTTCTTTTATAAAATAATAAAATTGCATCAGATTTCTCTGGATTTCTTTAAAATGAAGTTCGAAATTTAATTTATCATCTATAATTACACCCAAATATTTCATGTGATCTACTCTCTTTCACAGGGTACCATAATCTAGCCTGGGTGGTCTAGTATTTTTGCCGCCCTAGGGAAAAACATATATGAAGTCTTCGCAATTAAAATCAACTTCTCATCCTCG